CTTTGTCCTTATTGGCGTTCCTATATCTCTCTCCCTTTCATTCCCTCCGTTGTCAGTTTATTGGTACTTTGTGCATTACCGTAAGTGCATCTTACACTCAACTAACCTATGTTTTTCTGTCCAGCCCTGTCTTGTCTTGTTCTCCTGTGCTCTCCGTTGTGGGTACGAATTGTATGATCTCGATTATAATGCGAATCTGCTCAGATTATCAACACTTGGAGGTCAGACATTCTTCTCATCGCAGTGGTGGGCTTACAGGACCATCCAACTTCCTTCTCTCTCTCTCTCACGGTCAAGTGGGTGGCCTTTTGAGTTACCTTCCTGAAGATGCAGCTCTGTGTGCTTTGCTATACGACAGACTGCCTTGTTTGACCTTTTTCTTATTAAAGAATTCTGTTGAAATGCATTATTTTTGCCCTTCATTCTGTTCCGTGACACTATAGGCTCTATTTTGACGATCCATGCGCAAAGTGCAAAGCTCAGGGCGCAAACGCATTAAGTGTCAGAATCTATTTTTGACTTTCACTTTCGCTCTCGTGGATAGGGAAACCTTGTAAGCACAGAAATCAATTAGCCCATAAATAATTATTTTTTTTTGATAAGTGCAAAGAATTGTTTCAAAACTATTTCTAAATTCAGTTCTAATTTCCAGCAAACGAATAAATGAACAATAATAACCAAGTGTGGTCAAAAACTGATTCATATCCAAACACACATGCTATGCCCCATATGGTCTAAAACCTGACAGGGTGGGCAAATCTAAGCTTTTTTTTAATAAAACAAATATAAATATAGATATAATAAATAATACAGCTAATATTTATAACATTATACAAAAGCAAATTTTCACGAATAAACAGAAAAAAGCCCCCAGAGATGAAGAAGGCATGAAAGTATGGTTTTTATATTTATGTAGTCTAAAAAAATAATATGTTTTGTACTATTTTAATTCTTTTATATTTATGTACTATATATATCCTCATTATTTCCTATATATATATATATATATATATATATATATATATATATATATATATCCTTAATATATTAATTCTTTTTCATATGTAAAGATATTTGCGTATTGCTCTACATCTTATGTGTATTAAGCAGTGTGTAAGTGAGGCGCACAACTAACGCTCTCTGCGCTGGACTTTAGACCGGCTCTGTTCTGGTCTAAAGAACAGACTTTTATAGTTTCTCAAAATAGCAACGCGCCAGCAATGTGCCTCAACACACCTTCTTTTTTAGACCAGAATGCCTATGGGCGCACATATGAGCGCAAATGCATTTGCTATTTAAACAGCGTGGCGCAAAAGGTCAAAACGACTCTTGCGCCCAGCTGAAACTAGCAAACAACAATTGCGTCCTGCCTTGCGCCACATTGAGCTGGGTGTATGATAGGGCCCTATGCATTAAACAAGTGTTTTAGAAGATCCCAACCATTTTCTAATACAACAGAAAACACAGAGTGCATGAAACAAAACCCCCTACTACTGTGATGTTTGGAACAAATACATGTACCATTACACCCCTAATTGAGATGCCTTTGTTATGACAACTTGACAAGCAAATGCATTTCAACCCATTTTTGTCATGACAACTTGAAATTACTAAGACAAATCATAATCTCATAAAGTCATAAATCTGTCATAAACATGACTGACACTATCCCATTATAATTGTGTCATTAAGTGTTTTCTGACCACTTCTTCTGTGAAACAAAATTAATTTGTCATAAAGATTTCTCAGTAATAGTATCAATACTCTGTCAAATAATTTTATAACAGTGTCACTAATATTTGATGACATTTTAATGACATATTTAATTTGTACCATTGTTGAGGTCAAGAGAATTGATAATAACAGCGTTATAACTCATGACACAACTAATGGCCTCATCACGGCTTTATGACAAGTTAACTAATGAATTAAATAAGGTATTAGTTAATTTGAGGTTGTATGTCGGACAAGGGATGTAGAATAAGATCATTCAGTAATGTACTTTATATGAACAAATAAACAGTTAATATCTTAATAAGCAGGTAATAAGCCACTAGCTAATAGTGTGAATTGCTACTTAAACTATACTGTTAGGAAACTGTATTTTTGCTGTTTAATTCTTAGTAAAGTATTATTCAGTTTCATAAATTCAATTTAATAGACATGATTTTTCAATACTATTTTGTTTATCATAAAATATACGAGAAAAAAAGAGAAAATAATTGAAAAAAATATGTGAATCAATTCAAAATGTCTTTCGTTGTGCTTCAATGTCATACACTTCCAGTTATATTAGCTGTCCAAAAACAGGATGTTATATTATTTCAGATAACTTACGTGTGTGTTTGTGTGTGTGTGTGTGTGTGTGTGCGTGTGTGCGTGCGTGCGTGCTTGTGTGTGTGTGTGTGTGTGTGTGTGTGTGCGCGTAGGTATACATTTATTTATTTATTTATTTTTTATTAACCAAATCTGGTATATGGTGTGTGTAGCACAAATAGCTGTGTTTTGTTATTGATCTAGCTAATCCATAATTGAACTAATTCATTAGTTAATGAATCGGAACCCTCACACATTCACACATTTACATTTTTGCTCTGCAGAATAAAGTGGATAGTCAGTTTTCTCCTTCAGGTCAACTGCCTTCATGGTAGAGAAATCATGTTAAGCAAGTAAGTTACAGTCACTTAAACCGTCAAGTTTTTATAGCTTCCTCAAACTAGTGCATGCTCAGTATCCCTACTGCTGTGAATCTACTGGAGCTTTAGTACAGCCGCAATCACAAATCATTGGCCATGTGAGCTTGAACCCGATGTCAAATCTATGTATGTGAGGTAAATTACTAGAGTACTAGAAATTACTATATTTTCAGATTACTAAACTTGATCTATATTAATATGACTGGATTGGAAGTGCAGCTTTTTTGGTTGTTGGTGGGTGGAGGATTGGGGAGTGTTGGTCCGGCCAAATTCACAATTGAAAATCAGGTCACCGGGAAATGTGGTCCCAGTGCTCCCAGTCTCCTATGGCCTGTCCACCCCTGGTCCTGTTGTCAAGTGGTATATGCCTTATGCTGTGTTCACACCAGACGCGGAAGAAGCGTGAAGCGCGAGTAATTTACGCTAAGTCAATGCAAACGCGCAAATAAACATCCTGCGGCGCGATACGAGCAAAAGACGCGAAGCGAATTGTGCGAATGGCGGAGCCAATTTACGATTTTCGCCCAACATTCGCAATGCATTAAACAATCAGGAGCTTGCTCTTGTGGGGGCGTGATTATGACATATCGCCTGTTGTTGGTGTCCCGGGGGAAAATCCTCTTGCACACACCGACAACAGTTTGTTAAACTGGGCTCGGCTAAGTCAGAAGCACCGCTAAAAGCCTCCATCATCCAGGTTAAGTTTCTGGAGGAGTTTATGATCTCACAGAGCTGGCTGCACCTCTGAAAGGATCTAGTGGACTCAGACACTGCTCCAAATGAATCGATGCTGTTTTTTAGCCTTTATAAAGCACATAGACACAGTTATTTTCGCAATAAAGTCCATGTTAGCCATTTAGCAACTAAGCTACAGTTACTGGGCAAACAGAAGCCCTGGCCATCACGTCAATCCACGTCTGTTCTGAGGTGAATTTGATGCGCGAATGAAGCAAATTGACTCATAAATAAAGCAAATTTGACGTGTGAATAAAGCAAGCAAACTCAAATGTTCAAGCGTCTATTTACACAGGAATATTGCAATTTATTCACGCGTTCCGCATCTGGTGGGAACACAGCACAAGTGATTTCATGACTTGTTGTGACTTCAAAACTTGTTTATTTTGCTGATTATTGATGCTGAAAATGATCAACTACAGTCACATTTTGAGTTGTGTTAATCAGTTGGATCAATAAAGACGGCCAAAAGTAATAACAAACCAAGCAGAAGAGAGAAAAAGAACCTGCCTGAGAAACAAGGTGTTCGACCAAACTGGACCAGAACACTGTTTGTTCTTATATTTTCCATTCAAGTAATTACAATTTTAACCTAATATTTTAATGAATTCTGCTCATACATTTTTTACCACCTATTGTATTCAGTTTACCAATATATTGCACCCTTTCGTGCTTATTAATACTTCTTTATATGATCTAGCAACATCCACATGGTTTTTCGTCTGGTTTAGAACAACATATAGGTTTATATCAAAATACCGCCAGTACTGCCTGTGCATTTGGGTAAATGAGCAAAAATGCAAACCCCTCTATACACTGAACACCTAATACTCATGCTTAGTATTAACATTTTCATAAAGAATCACAATTTTTCAATTTATACAGACACTGTGGCTGCATCTGAAAGCTTGGGCTGCTGACTTGTTACTTTGCTGACCAATCACTTCCGAGACAGCATATCAATTTACAACACAAAATAAAGAGAGCTTTGGTGATAAATAAGGGAATATTTACTTACTATATTACTAACTTCTTGCAAGAAGTAACATCAAATGTGGAAAACACTGGTCAAAATCTGTACATTTATTCAGAAAATGACACCCAAGCAGCTCTTTGAGATTCCTTGTTAATTTTTTTAGCTGCATTAACTGTCAGAACTGCAATTGACAGGATTTTGGGATATCAAAATGCAGTGAAGAACACATCTATGCTGCCTTCGAAAGTCGATAAGAATAAAAAGGAATCTCCCAAGACAGAAAGTAAAACAGAATTTGGATTCAGACGTCCCTTGATGCCCTCCAGCCTTGGAATGCTGCCTTTTTAAAGCTTTCAGATGCAGCCCATGAAGGTATCATTTTCAAAAGTCAGAACTGTAAAACCTTTTCAAAGGTTTGCATTTTCAGGCCTCTGAATTGCAGTTGTTGTGTTAATGAACAGTCAAAATACATCAAAGTTTCTCAATTTTAGGTGAAAACGGTGTGATGTAAATGAAATATGACTGAACCTCAGTGCTCTGGACATGCACCAGTGAAGAGCAGAAACATCTGTGTATTGTTTTAGCTGGCGTACCTGTTCTTTATGACGGTTCCACTTGATTGCCTAAGAAGAGAAGAAAAGACAGAAACTGACATGAGCAGATGGAGAAAAAACATTTCAAGCAGTAGGGGTTATAAAACACCAAAACATCACTAAATAAGAAGGCATTGCATTCAAATCTTAATATAAAGAAAGATACCAAGCAGTAATTGTAAAATGTTATAAGCTTTGTTGTCAGCAAATTTGAGTGCCATGTTTGGAGAAAAGCAACATCATATGACCAATTTACAGTCAAAAATGAGCTGAAACAACCCAATTCGTGAGATTTTATTACTACTTAATACTAAGTTAACTTAATAAATTTTTGTTGGGACAACATGGATGAAGGTTGTGGAACGTTCGAGGTTACAGAAGTAACCCTTCGTTCCCCGAGGAGGGGAACGGAAGTGCCATGAATGAAAGGATTCGGATCAGAAGCCGCTTATCTGGAGAGTATTGAACGGGCCAATGAATGAAATTAATTGGCAGCGTAAGCTTGCGCAGGTGTGCGACATCTGCAATTATCTCAGCATATAAGCACACCTGAAGCCAGCAGACGCCATCCTTTTAAGCTGAAGAGACTTTCAAACAGCTAAGGGACAGTCATTATGGCGACGGAATATGGCACTTCCGTTCCCCTCCTCGGGGAACGAAGGGTTACTTCTGTAACCTCGAACGTTCCCCTTCAGTTGGGGAACTTCAGTGCCATGAATGGGAGAAATATGGAAAGCGCCATAATGACTGCACCTTACCAACACCCCCGATGAGGAGATAGTCAAGCAAGCGTGACGCACCCACATCATGGGGGGCGCGGTCCTCCAACGTGTCCCTGGCCCTAATTTATCCTACTTCAACAGAAGTTTTACGGATTTAGATATATTTTTTGGGAAGTCGTGAGCATCTAGATAATTCTAGGAAATACGACAGTACGTTGGGAAGCGTGCAATCCCGATAGGGAGGACGCTGCGGAGGCCATCCGTTACCCAAGGGGGGGATAGATGGCAGAATTTACATATGGACTAGCCCTAAAAAAGGGGGAGTACGCATAGCAAAAGAGTGGTTAGCGGAGAGGGAAGACACGGGTCCGCCCAGGGGGGGGACTTAACCGTGGCGGAATAAGCATATGGGATCGCCTAGTGGGGATCACGCATAGCAGGCACCTATACCCAAAACGCGGGCTGACCAGCGGGCAGACCTACAACGTAGTGGGCCAGCAAGTGACTCCTCCGCTGAGTCAGTGCTGGGGGCCACGGAGGAATCTGCAGGGCTCACCTGACGGGGAACTTTACTGACAGATAAAAAAGGCGCACGTACCTCTGTGTTAGGGAGAATGGCGCAGCAAGCGTGTTTCAACACCCTACCGAGTTGTCTCCTCAATCACCAAAGGGTTACCTAATACCCTTGAGGAAACCGGCTCCACTCGCAGATTGTAAAACCTTGCAAATGTGTTGGGTGTTGCCCAGCCCGCAGCTCTACAGATGTCTGTTAGAGAGGCGCTGCGTGCACGCGCCCAAGAGGATGCAACGCTCCGAGTGGAGTGTGCACGTACTCCCGGGGGACACGGCTGACCTCGACTCGAATAAGCGAGTGAAATGGCATCCACAATCCAGTGGGATAATCTTTGTTTCGATACGGCACTTCCCTGCTGCTGACCGCCATAACAGACAAAGAGCTGCTCAGATGATCTAAAATTCTGAGTACGGTCCACATAAATGCGCAGAGCGCGAACTGGACAAAGTAAAGAAAGGGCTGGGTCTGCCTCCTCCGGGGGCAGCGCTTGCAGGTTCACTACCTGATCTCTAAAGGGGGTGGTAGGAACCTTGGGCACATAACCGGGGCGGGGTCTCAGGACGACGTGAGAGTAATCCGGCCCGAATTCCAGGCACGAGTCACTGACCGAAAATGCCTCCAGGTCCCCGACCCTCTTGATGGAGGCCAACGCAACCAGCAGAGCTGTCTTCAGGGACAGAAATCTTAGAGATACTGATTCGAGTGGCTCAAAGGGATTGGATCGCAGACTCGTAAGAACGAGGGCGAGATCCCAAGAGGGCATGAGAGGGGGGCGAGATGGATTAATTCGCCTAGCACCCCTAAGGAACTGGATGACCAGGTTATGCTTTCCCACGGTGCCGCCAGCTACCGCGCTATGATAAGCGGAGATGGCGGCCACGTAAACCTTGAGAGTGGAGGGCGACAGCCTGCTGTCCAACTTCTCTTGAAGGAAAGAGAGCACAACACTAATCTGGCAATTTCGGGGGTCTTCTCTGCGAGAGACGCACCATTCAGTGAATAGACTCCACTTCAGGGCGTAGGCGCGCCTCGTGGAGGGGGCTCTAGCCTGAGTGATGGTATTAACCACCGCAGTCGGTAGGTTACCTAAGTCTTCCTCGCGTCTAGGGACCACACGTGGAGGTTCCAAAGATCGGGGCGAGGGTGCCAGATGGTGCCCTGTCCCTGAGAGAGTAGGTCCTCTCAAAGGGATCCGCCAGGGGAGGGCCGTCGCGAGGAGTGAGAGCTCTGATATCCAGGTCCGGTTGGGCCAAAGGGGTGCAACTAGCAGAACCTGTTCCTCGTCCTCCCTGACCTTGCACAGAAACTGCGCGAGCAGGCTCAATGGGGGAAACGCACACTTGCGCATGCCCCGAGGCCAGCTGTGGGCCAGTGCATCCGTGCCGAGAGAGCCCTCGGTCAGGGAAAAAAACAACTGGCAGTGAGCGTTCTCGGGGGAAGCAAACAGATCGATCTGGGCCTCCCCGAATCGCGCCCATATCAGCTGAACAGACTCGGGGTGGAGTCTCCATTCTCCAGGGCGTAACAGCTGTCGTGAGAGCGCATCGGCTGCACGATTGAGCGTGCCTGGGACGTGAATGGCGCGCAGCGATTTCAGCCGCGGGTGACTCCAGAGGAGCAGACGGCGGGCGAGCTGAGACATGCGGCGAGAGCGCATACCCCCCCATGCGGTTGATATACGCCGCCGCCGCCATACTGTCCGTCCTGACCAGCACGTGTTGCCGCTCCAGCACCGGTAAAAAGCGGTGGAGAGCGAGGAACACTGCCAACAGCTCTAGGCGATTGATATGCCAATGCAGCTGGGCACCCTTCCAGAGGCCCGCAGCCGCATGCCCGCGACACACGGCCCCCCAACCCGTGTTGGAAGCGTCTGTTGAAACAACAACATGGCTGGACGCCTGTCCTAGAGGCACACCGGCCTGTAGGAACGAGGGGTCATTCCAAGGGCTGAGGGCGCGGCGACACAGCGCAGTAACCGAGACCCGGTGTGTGCCCGCGTGCCATGCGCGTCTGGGGACCCGATCGTGAAGCCAGTGCTGAAGTGGTCTCATATGGAGCAACCCGAGCGGCGTGACGGCGGCTGCGGATGCCATATGCCCCAGGAGCCTCTGAAAGAACTTCAGTGGGACCACTAGTTTGCTGTCGAGCTCCCTCAGACAGTTCAGCAACAGGCGAGCGCGTTCCTCGGAGAGGTGCGCTACCATGGTGATCGAGTCCAGCTCCATCCCGAGAAAAGAAATCCTCTGCACGGGGGCGAGTTTGCTCTTTTCTCGGTTGACCTGTAGCCCCAGTAGGCGGAGATGCCGAAGCACCTTGTCCCTGTGCATAATCAATTGCTCCCGCGAGTGGGCTAAAATCAGCCAGTCGTCGAGATAATTGAGTATGCGAATGCCCGCGAGCCGAAGGGGCGCTAGGGCACCCTCCGCGAGTTTGGTGAAGACCCGCGGAGACAGAGAGAGCCCGAAGGGGAGGACCTTGTACTGCCACGCTCGACCCTCGAACGCAAACCGCAGAAATTGGCGGTGGCGTGGAAGAATGGAGACATGGAAATACGCGTCCTTCAGGTCTATGGCTGCAAACCAATCCTGAGGACGAACGCATTGGAGAATGCGCCTCTGCGTGAGCATTCTGAACGGCAGCCTGTGCAGACAGCGGTTCAAAACGCGCAGATCTAGGATTGGCCGTGACCCACCGCTCTTTTTGGGTACGATGAAGTATGGGCTGTAAAACCCACTCTCCATCTCGGCTGGAGGAACCGGCTCGATTGCACCCTTCGCCAGGAGGGCAGCAATCTCCTCTCGCAAGACAGGGGCGGACAGGGGGTTGACCCTGGAGAAATACACGCCCGTAAACTTGGGGGGCCGTTTCGCGAACTGAATCGCGTAACCGAGTCTGATTGTGCGTATGAGCCACCGCGAGGGGCTGGCCCGCGCTAACCAGGCAGGCAGAGCCCTCGCTAATGGAGTCATCGCTACAATCGCTGACGTACCAGCGGTGGGGCAGCGCGGAGTGGGTGTGCTGATCCGGGAAGCACGAGGGTCCCGCGGAAGAGCTGGAGGAGAGCGATTCGCTCTGGCTCCGCACCCTGACTCCGGAGAGGGGGCTGGAGGGCTGAGGGAAGGGAGACCGTCCCCCCAGCGCTCGTGAGCCACTGGCGAAGCACGTAGAGTCTGCGAGCCGGAAGGCAGCTCGTCCCGGACTGGCAGAACTCGTGCAGTCACATCCGGGGAAGGGAAAAAGTGCTCTTTTACTGATGTTTTGGTGGCACTGAAAAGTACCGTTGTTATCGGGGCCCCGCCCTCCAGCGGGGAAAGAGCAAGTTTCCTCTTCTCCGGATGGCCTGTCTCAGGGACGCTTCGCAGTCCGTTTACCGGACTTAACGGCGCCCTGGGCAGGAGGGGCTGCCTGCTTTCGAGGTGTACGCCGCGCCCGCTTGGCCGGAGGCGCAGGCGGGGGCGGGGCAGCACTCGTTGGCGGGCGCCCTCGGCGAGGAACAGCGGAGGTGGATGGCTCGGCGGGCGGAGCGGGCTTACGGCCACGCCGATAGATGACATTGCCCATCGCATCCGACTGCTCTTTCACCGCCTTGAATTCCTGGGTGAATTCACCGACGGTGTCGCCGAACAGGCCAGCCTGGGATATGGGCGAGTCAAGAAAGCGAACTTTGTCAACATCGCGCATATCGGCCAGGTTTAGCCAGAGGTGGCGTTCCTGAACCACAAGTGTTGACATCG